CAAGACTATCGTTGCGCCGATCTTAAACCACCATACGACGATGTACAACATAAAGCGCCGGTTCCCAGAAGTAACATACCGGTGGAAAAACTTCAATTCCCCTCCAGCTCGGAAATGGCGACCTTCAATAAACGCACAGACATAATCTAAATTGACGCGTCTGAAATAGGCGGATAATAATGACGTCACGCTACCGTTTGCCAAAGCCCACAACCCGTCCACGCCTTGGCCGTGACGTCCCCTTCACGCCTAAGCTGTCCGACTATTGCGGCTACCGGCCGGGGCTTCCGAGAACCGGTGAGCACCATTGTGCGATATTCTTGTACTGAGCTCTGACGCACGTACGCCCCAGCCCCGCGTCAGGATTCGACGGTGGCTCTACTTGCACGTAAACGCCCTGGAAGTGAATGATCTTGGCTGCGGCCTCTGGGCGTCACAAGCCCACAGGCCACGGTCAAGACTGCATGATACTTGAAGGGAGTTTTCTACATAAGTATACAATTTTGAACTGACATAGCCATCTTGTAGATTATTCGGCGCAGTTCAGTCATGCCCTTCTAGATCATTCTACTTTCTGAGCTCTACGTCCGTGAAGGTGGTTGCTGCTGCTGTGGTTGCTACTTCTTGCTGGTTGTTTCAAGGTTACCCAAGCACCCATTGCTCACTAATTGCATTCAGATTATGACATTCCGCTTCCCATGTGGCGTTCGAGGCCAATATAAACATAATTGTCTAGTTGTCCCGCGTCCCCGGGCACGGCTTTTAGAAATAACGGACTTCAATTGATTCTGAATATCGTGCGGGCTCTGCAAGATCCTGATGTGAATCACGTTTTGTACTGCTTAATACAAGACATTAGACAGGAGTACTATATATTAAAGGATTAAGATAAATCATCGAATAAGGAAACAGTAGCGCTACCAACGAGTGCGTGGACGCCAGTACTACATCACATGCAAATCGCGCACAAATACGCAAAAACGCCACGAAAGCACGACATGAGCACTAAACAAAATTTGGCTCGGCACAAGCCCAGCACCTCTGTGAACCACCTTCCGGGGGATTAAAAAACGGAGTGAACATGGAGGGATTTATTGATTTCAGTATTGAACTCGTATAATATGCAAGTTTTGGCGGTATCGGTAAAAGGGCGCTGGATACGAAGTTGAGTGTGCGTACACCTGTAATGCCGTCACTTACCAGATAGCCCATGGTGTGGTTTTGCGGGATCCTCCCGTTATGTTTTACTCTAAAGTACGATTTGGAGCTTTGCCAGCATCATAAAAGTGGCACTTTACGAGAACTGATCGGCAATTCGTTGGAACGGATCTCGCAATTAACTGATTACAAATATTTACTGATGGGTCCAACTCAGGGCGCGACAGGAACGGGCTGCGCATTTGGTTGCGGTGATCACACCGTAGATCTCTGGTCTCTCATCACGTCAACTTTCTTTCCTAAGAACGATTTGCTATTTGTGCAGCTCTTCAGTGTGGTACTTATCGGCCGGAAAAGTATGTAGTCATTTTGACGGACGCAGTGCATTTTTATCGTTAGAGCCGACGCCGATGTCCCGTGACCACTCACTCTGACGCGCTCGATTTGGGAGGAACTGGAATGGCTGGGCAACACTTCCTGTTGTATCCCATTTATGTGGATCCCCAGCCAGATAGGGATGCTGAGAAATGGGAAAGCACGCTACGGCGTTTGAGAGAAAGCCAATACCAACTAATGTACCCGTTCAAGATCTGAAGTCGGTCATTTCCAAATACGTCCGCGATGCGCGGCAGAACAAGTTCGGCCAACACTTCGCGCTTTCAGGGAAATTAAGCTCTTCCCACCACCGAAGCCGCTTCCAGGAAGTCGCCCTTTATGGGTTTCGCATGCTACGGTGTGACAGATGCATGGACCAGTGATAAAGAAAATGCATTCATCTCATGCCGGCGCCTTGAGACGGAAAGGCAACGATTTCTTCTCCAGCGCCTCTTTATCAGCCAATTGGTCGAAACCCATGTTGTGAACTTGCAGATATGCTCTCTTTTTTCACACATTGACTAACATTGTTTTTATCCGACCCCTAGGTGTAAGTATACCAGTGGTACCGCCTGTTATTAGTTGACAACACACTTATCGCGTGACGTCGTAGATGCAGATAACTGTTATTGAGTGGGCGTAAAATGCTGGGGTGCTGACGCGCCCTAAAACACCAAATCACCATCACTTACGTGTTTTACGCACATTGCTAGCAGTCACCCGATGGTTAACCGCGTCATCTTAAATGGTACCTAGGTGGTGACTTGCTGATCATCTATCACCCAGATTTAATTATTGATAAGAGGTTGCTCATCACTGGAACCTAACATTCCTGTAGGGTTGGCGCCTTTATCATAGGAGTAGGAGTATCGCAGCGAATCGTATTCAGCTGGCGTTTAAAATCGACCTTTTTCAGTCCATATGTCGTGAAGAATTGCAAAAAAAACATCCGCTCCTAATCCGTGTGCTGCCCACATTTTCGTCTCTAGATCAATCCGCCCACGGATCCATCAGTCATCCGAGGGTTAGTGCTTTGATTGGTTCTTTCATTTTGTGAAGTGCTTCTCTGTCCACCTCCTGTTGTCAGACTTCCGGTCCACTATGTGGGCGAAAGGGTAGGTGTTGACTGGAAGTCGGCAATGTCGGCTGTTCACCGCATCGTTGAGGCCGATATTAGCTTCGTCTGGGAGCCAGAAGTGGCTGCTCCACTCGCCCGTCTGTTTGATCTTGTGCTCGAATTGGTGACACATTCTGACCCCTCGTCGCGTTGTCATACTCGCTCGATGCGCTCTGAACATGCGGTTGGTGATGCGTAGACACTGAGACATTAGATCGCCTTCCTAGTTCAAGTAAATCTTGCATTCCCCTGTGACCAGGCTCGTAGTAACAATATTTTGTTATGTTTTACGAGTTTACTGTCATGGGTCATTGCTGTAGAACACTAATCTCATTCTAGAGCGGATGAATATCGTGCAGCTAGATGCGATCTCCCTTTGTGCTCGGCCAAATGCAAAATAGAACGAGCAAAAAGGACACGTTAGAAAAGATTACGGAGCAAACTCGATGTTTCTCTGACCAATTGCGATGAGATGCTTGTTCTTCGGCACACGCCCAATTGGTACAGGTGATACTACTACCACAATACTAAAGCCTTCTCATGCCATGTAACATCACCCCCAATTCGCAAGTGAACGCGTTGCGGAAAGCTTTGTGAGTTATTTGCAAGAATGGAGTCTCAGAAGAAAGCAAAGCGTTAGCAATATTAGTTCCTCACTGACCGATGACGATGTCATGCTCCATCTTCAAGACGACTTTAATTTAATTCTCAGACAGGCGAAATTCCATAACCTCAACCCCACTAGAGGCAAGAAGTGCATACTATTTCGCTCTACATCCGGCACTTGATGCCACATGCTGCGAAGCTGTCAGAGATTACTTGCTGGCTGAAACTAATGCAACTTTCCCGGTATCAGACCCCTCGCACTTATGAAGAATTTAAAAGCTTGAGGCCCGTGCGGCTATTAGGCGTGTGCTCCGTCCCGACTAATGGTGTGATCGGGAGCAAGGGCCGGTCGGCGTCACACCTTATGGGCCCCTGAAGACACCAATTCGCTTCCCGAGCGCCACAGGCCAACGCGGGTCATTACCAGAGTCAGGAGCTGCTGCTGGGCCCCTGCCCGCCGCTTCATCTACCGGTCTAATTTCCGTACACCATTACTGCAGAATTCAGGTGAAAATCAAGTCCGAGCGCGGCCTCGGGCCTCAGACTAGCCAGCGCGGATGTGTAGTGGCCCCGCTACGGAGACGTGTCGTTAGGGCCGGGGAGCTGCAGATCTGGTTGTGCCGACCATCAGCGGGCCTTATGCTCGGTTAGTGAATAGCGCCCCCTTGACTCCTTGTGTATACACCATTAATTTGATCTAATTTGAGGAGGCAAGCCAGCCAAGTAGATTCCGAGTTGCATTC